CATTCACTCTTATCAAACACGCTCACGCATGCCTGCTGGAAGTCCAAGCCCCTCGCACACAAAACCTCCTTTACCCCCTCTCTCCAACCTTTCCTAGGCCGACCCCTACCCCGCCTTCCTTCCACTACAGACTGATACACTCTTGAAGTCATTCTGTTTCGCTCCATTCTCTCTACATGTCCGAACCACCTCAACAACCCTTCCTCAGCCCTCTGGACAACAGTTTTGGTAATCCCGCACCTCCTCCTAACTTCCAAACTACGAATTCTCTGCATTATATTCACACCACACATTGCCCTCAGACATGACATCTCCACTGCCTCCAGCCTTCTCCTCACTGCAACATTCATCACCCATGCTTCACACCCATATAAGAGCGTTGGTAAAACTATACTCTCATACATTCCCCTCTTTGCCTCCAAGGACAAAGTTCTTTGTCTCCACAGACTCCTAAGTGCACCACTCACTCTTTTCCCCTCATCAATTGTATGATTCACCTCATCTTTCATAGACCCATCCGCTGACACGTCCACTTCCAAATATCTGAATACATTCACCTCCTCCATACTCTCTCCCTCCAATCTGATATTCAATCTTTCATCACCTAATCTTTTTGTTATCCTCATAACCTTAAATCTTTCCTGTATTCACCTTTAATTTTCTTCTTTTGCAACACCCCTACCAAATTCCCTCCACCAATCTCTGCAACTTCTCTTCAGAATCTCCCAAGAGCACAGTGTCATCAGCAAAGAGCAGCGTGACAACTCCCACTTTGCGTGTGATTCTTTATCTTTTAACTCCACGCCTCTTGCCAAGACCTCGCATTTACTTCTTTACAACCCCATCTATAAATATATTAAACAACCACGGTGACATCACACATCCTTGTCTAAGGCCTACTTTTACTGGGAAAAAATTTCCCTCTTCCTACATACTCTAACTTGAGCCTCACTATCCTCGTAAAAACTCTTCACTGCTTTCAGTAACCTACCTCCTACACCATACACTTGCAACATCTGCCACATTGCCCCCCTATCCACCCTGTCATACGCCTTTTCCAAATCCATAAATGCCACAAGGACCTCTTTAGCCTTATCTAAATACTGTTCACTTATATGTTTCACTGTAAACACCTGGTCCACACACCCCCTACCTTTCCTAAAGCCTCCTTGTTCATCTGCTATCCTATTCTCCGTCTTACTCTTAATTCTTTCAATAATAACTCTACCATACACTTTACCAGGTATACTCAGCAGACTTATCCCCCTATAATTTTTCCACTCTCTTTTATCCCCTTTGCCTTTATACAAAGGAACTATGCATGCTCTCTGCCAATCCCTAGGTACCTTACTTTCTTCCATACATTTATTAAATAATTGCACCAACCACTCCAAAACTATATCCCCACCTGCTTTTAACATTTCTATCTTTATCCCATCAATCCCGGCTGCCTTATCCCCTTTCATTTTACCTACTGCCTCACGAACTTCCCCCACACTCACAACTGGCTCTTCCTCACTCCTACAAGATGTTATTCCTCCTTGTCCTATACATGAAATCACAGCTTCCCTATCTTCATCAACATTTAACAATTCCTCAAAATATTCCCTCCATATATAATATATATATATATATATATATATATATATATATATATATATATATATATATATATATATATATATATATATATATATATATAGTAATCATAACGCTTGTGTATTCACCTCCTTCAGAAAATCTCGTTTAAAATGTAAATATTGTTTGAAATACATTAAAATATGCTAAAATTTGTCTTACAACTTTAGCCTTTAAAAATGTACCCAGTCTGAGAGACAGAGAGAGAGAGACAGAGAGACAGACAGACAGACAGACAGACAGACAGACAGACAGACAGAGATTAATATATAGCTAAAAGGACGCCATAATATAATTAAAAATTGAATTGGTGCCATGAATTTAAACTTTTGACACGCCTGAGAAGAGTTTCATAATTCTTCAGGTTCTCACAGTATAGAGCAGTGATGAATAGGTAGTCAGCGTTGATGAATAGGTCTTTAGTGTTGAAGAGGTGAGTAACAACCTGGAAGAGTGTTGCTGCAGCGACAAGCTTGGAAGACTTGGTGTGATTATGATGACATGAGTGCACCCAGCGGGTTGTGCAGGGGCAGGGGGAGGGGGTCGAGGCACTGCTCCTGACCCAGCTTCTTGGGTTGGATTGACCGACATGCCCTTGACTCTCTAACCTTTCCCGTCTCTGTCATACATAGTCTTCAAGCTGGTGAAAGAGGGAGCTACCACTACCACGTCTACTTCATTGTACTTATGAATGATGGTGAGAGTTGGTGTTGCAGAGGTCTGAGCTCACACCTCTACAACACAGTTGTCATCAAAGATTTGTTAAGTTATACCATGAATTAAGGAAAGATCCTGGACTTCACCTTACGTAGCAGACAAAAGAAATGTGATAGTAATTATGGAGAAGGTAGATTATAGTAGAGAAATGAACATGTTATTAGAAGACGGGGGAATTTAAGTGCCTCTTTATAAATACTTGCAGAGTCTGCCGTGTCTGGTGATGCTGCAGGTAAACACCAGGTAGATTCTTCCTCCTTCACTTTCCCCGCTACTCTTCCTTTATTTTCACCCTTCACGTCTCTTCCTCACTTTCTCTATCCCTTCACAACTTTCCCTTCCTTTCCTCATTCACTTTTCTCCTTTTCCTCCCTTTGTCTTCTTTCTCTCCCGTCTTTTTCTCCTTCTGTCTCCTCTGTCCCCTCCGTTTTCCTTTTGTCTTCTCTCCGACTTCTCCTCCCTCTTCCCTTCCTCTCCCCTCCCTTCTTCCTCTGTCTTCTCTCTCCCTTCCACTCCTCTCTCCCTATCTTCTCCATTTCCCCTTCCTCTCCCGTCTCTCTTCTCTCCATCCTCCCACTATCCTCCTCTCCCTCTCCTCACCAATCTCTTCTCAAGCTCCGGAAAGTTTTTCAATAACTTTCTCAGCTTCTGCATATTTTCATATTCAGTGGATGAGCAGTGAAGATGAGCACTAAAGATGAGCAGTAAAGATGAGCAATAAAGATGAGCACTGAAGATGAGCAGTGAAGATGAGCAGTAAAGATGAGCAATAAAGAGCACCATCAGGTGATTTACTCCTCTTATTAAGACTCTTGTCAACATTTTCCCCTCTTATTACAATCATTATTGTTAGAGTTGTCATTGTCCCCAAAATTGTTACTGTTCTGTTGTAATTGTTTATTACCTGTCGTCGATACCATGGTTCACCATGTCCAGCGGCCAGGTCCCGGACCGAGCCTCCAGTATGATAGTCTGATCTGTTAGGCTGTTGGTGGTAGCACCACGTATTTGTTCAGAATGTTGTAGTGGTTAGAATTATTACCTTTAGAAGTGTAGCTGATGTTTGTGTTATTTTTGGTGTTAAGGATCATGTAGTGGATTATTGTGGATGCGTGTGGCATCCTCAGTAATTCTTCATTATTATTGCGTTAGAAAACAAACGTTAAACTCGTGTGGGTCTAGAGAACGCTGCTCTCTTTCTCTCGAATGTTTAGGATGGCAAGTATTTATTCTTGTGCTCGTTATACTCTTATCTTTACTGTTCTGTTTCTTGTTTGTTCTTGTTTTATATAACATTTCCTTTGCAGTTTTCCCTCTGGGAGCGGTGTTTAGCATGGTTTGCCCTGGAACCGTGTGTACGTCGTGCGAGGCAACACAAGTGCCGGCAACGTGTGGCTGGTTTTCCCCAGGTTGCATAGGTAATTACTGATAAGAAGCATGATGAAGTGACTGTGTTGGGTTTGGTTGTGCTCGCTTGTAGTGTAGCTGGCAGGGAACACCACATTCTTAGAGGATGTATAAAAGGCGATGGAAGGAAAGAGTGAAGGAGGAATTGAGAGGTAGGGACTACGAGGAAAAGGGATGGATGAAGGGGGGGGGGGTGAAGGAGAATTAAGGGAGCAGGGACTAGAAGGAAAATATTTGAACAAAATTAGATACATCAGTAGTATGCTGCTACTCTGTTTGATAATTATACAGCAAGAACAAAAGCTAGCTATATTTCCCTGTCACATTCCATCACTCAGGATGGAGCTCATACAAGGTGTTGAGATCCGTCAACCTGAGGTGGGAGACCTCACTGGGTCAGTGAGAATGGCGTCAAGTGTTCCAGCAAGGGTTCATCAGCTACGACAGCTTGAAAGGTTTCCTTCCAGCAAAGCTGCAGTTTCTATCACATAAGAACTGCCACCTCTCAGGGAAACCAGTCCCAGAGTGAGGGGGGGGGATAAGGGGTGGTAAAAGGGGGGTGATAACGAACTAAAGAGGTAGAAACTACGGGCAAAGGACTCTAACCAACTTCCGCAGGGAAATGGGAAAGGGAGCATGAAAAGGGTTAGCTGTCCGGGGCGAGAGTTGTGGGGGTGGTAAACACGTTGCCTGCACCTGAAAACACGGATTGCAGGAGTCAAATGTCTCGCTGCTTCGAAATAGCATGTGGCATCTGCTTCCTCTCATGTTCTCTGCATTCCCCAGCTAGCCCGGCCTGATATTGTTTCTTCTTAATTATGTACAATGTTCTCTCTCTCTCTCTCTCTCTCTCTCTCTCTCTCTCTCTCTCTCTCTCTCTCTCTCTCTCTCTCTCTCTCTCTCTCTCTCTCCTCTCGTAGCGTGACTTGTGTCACTAAGAAAAAAGTGAATAATTGTAGGAGGTGTAAGAGTAGGAGGGGAGGCAGTAAGTGCCACAGCTGCACTACTCAGTCAAGGAGCCCGGGGTGCCATGGCAGTGCCACAGAGAGAGATTTATGCGCATGACAAAAGTTATAAAAACGCTATAAAAAGAGATTGGCGATTTCGTAAGTAATTTTCGAGGCATTCGTGATGATTGTGCGGAAGATGCGAGGCAGCGCAGATAAAGCGAAAGAAAGGTACATAATTATAATTGTAGTAAAAAAAAATTTCAAAACCCGTATGAGTCGTATAGCACAAAAAAAAAGAGGTAAGAGGAGAACTCGTGCACATGATTGTGAGGCAGATCCGCGGTGGATACTTTAGTTCAAGGAGTGGACTTGATTCTTCTGTCCCTGCCTAGATAAAAGACTTGACTTCTTGCCCTGCCTAGATACAAGAATCAGGTTGGTGTGGGAGGTCGTGAGGTAAGGAAATCGTAGAGCCAGATGAGGTGGAGTCTGTCCATGGGTAGTTTGTAGCGCCGACCACACCTGGTGAGAGGCCATGCCATGTACTCCACCTGCAGCTGCTGCTGCCCCCGCGCCGCCTCCTGCGCCCTCTGCTGTCGCACCTCGCTCATCACTCCCAGCATATACTCGTAGGTGAAGTTGAAGAGCACCACGGAGAGGACTAGGACCGAGACTACGTAGAAGATAGGTCCCCAGACCGGTCGACAGCGCTCTAAATCCTGGTGTTCCAGCCCCCCCACAAGCTGGAAGCTAAACACCCGCAGGTAGGCCACAGTCTTTTCGCTGAAGGAGGCGCTGCACTTGCCGAACATCGTGTGCCCCACTACGGCGAAGAAGAAATTGACGACGAAGAAGCACACGAGGAAGCCAAGGACGTACCTGACGGCGCGGCGCACACTGACGATGATGACTGTGACGTTGTTCCAGTGGTAGTTGTTGTAGAGGCAGATCTGGAGCACCGTCAGGAGGAGCATCCCGACTGCGGCCTCGCGCGCGTACCTGTTGTGTTGGACCAGTCTGGCGAAGGGCAGGTGGCGGAATTGCGATCTCAGGTACTCCGCCCGTGACTCCCTCGTCGTTAACTTAGCTTGTGTCTCGGGCGGGGCCTCGTTGTACGCCTGCTGCACCATGCTGTCGAACTGCAGCGCCGCCTCCACATTGAAGTACACGCGGCACGCGCACAGCCCTATGGCGGCTGCACACAGCAACAGCTTGAAGGCGTGTCGGCCGTAGGGGCGTCGAGTAATCATCGCCAGGCGGACGATGAAGCCGGCGATGCAGCACGTCAGCAAGATCGTCAGGAGTGGGAGGAGCAGAGTCTTAGCGTCGTCAGATAAGCCGTGGTAGTTGCCGCGACCACAGAACCCCCTGAAGTAGGCCGTCTCGATGCTGTACACGAACCACCACTGACGCATATCCAGGTTTTCGAAGGCCAACGTCACCCTGACATACACGTCGCTCATCTCGTCGTAGACGGTGAAGTCGTACTGGATGAGTCGCGTGGTATCGTCCAAGTAGTAATGTATCACTTTACTGCCCACGCTGGAGAGACACATCTTGTGGTAGTGACCATAGGTCTCCCGTCTGAGGTCTGGCTTAGGTATATCGAGGACATACCCGTTGCGAGGGTACTGGCACCTGAAGCAGGCACTGCTGAGGAGGTTGCCCAGACCTGCATCTTCGGTGTAGATGATGCCAATAGTGCCATTATCCACGCTTACGCAGTGGATGTCCTGTATGTCCGGTTTGTCCCACTGCTTCCTCCGCTCTACCTGCTGGTACAAGTCCTCCTCGAAGTCGAACCTCCGGGCGCAAGGCTTTCCCCCAACGGGGTAGAGGCAGGAACCGACCTTAGCGAAGAGTAACCTTACCCGTGGGAGCCCAACGGTGCTAACCAGTCCTAGTCCCGGGTGACTGAGCCATCTAGCGAAAAGGCCTTCGTCTTGGAACTTGGCTACTTCCTCAAGCGACATCTGCGCCCCTTCCTCGAACAAGTCGCCCACGTAAGTGCGGTAGGCAGCTCTCTACAGCTCGTTCTGCAAATTGCTGTTGTCGAGCACCATCAGATCGATGGCCATGATAAGGATGAGGATCGCAGAGAGGGTCACACACAGACCATGTTAATACCTCTCCTGCGTCACCGCCCCGACGGGCCTCTCCAACAAACCACATTCTTCGTCCTCCAACACTCCGCCTACTTCCACCTTCATGTCTCGAAAAGAAGAGAAATAACAAAGAGGAAACGTATATTATGTTACCAGTTATGATAGCTGTTGAGAAGTGAGAAATGACGGTTTACACTGGGGGATTATTGTTGAGTAGTAGTGTTGTTGTGAAGGTAGTGTAGTGGTGGATGTTGTGAAGGTAGTGTAGTGGTGGGTGTTGTGAAGGTAGTGTAGTGGTGGGTGTTGTGAGGTAGTGTAGTTGTGGTGTTGTGAAGGTGGTGTGTGAGGGTGTGAAGTAGTGTAGTGGTGGGTGTTGTGAAGGTAGTGTAGTGGTGGGTGTTGTGAAGGTAGTGTAGTGGTGGGTGTTGTGAAGGTAGTGTAGTGGTGGGTGTTGTGAAGGTAGTGTAGTGGTGGGTGTTGTGAAGGTAGTGGTGGGGAGTGTTGTGAAGGATGTGTTGTGAGTGTGTTAAAGGTGTGTAGTGGTGGTGTTGTGAAGGTAGTGTAGTGGTGGGTGTTGTGAAGGTAGTGTTGTGGTGGGTGTTGTGAAGGTAGTGTAGTGGTGGGTGCTGTGAGTAGTGTAGTGGTGGGTGTTGTGAAGGTAGTTAGTGGTGGGGGGTGTTGTGAAGGTAGTGTAGTGGTGGGGGTTGTGAAAGGGAGTGTAGTGGTGGGTGTTGTGAAGGTAGTGTAGTGGTGAGGTTGTGAAGGGAGTGTGTTGTGAAGGGAGTGTAGTGTGTTGTGGAGTGTAGTGTGTTGTGAAGGGAGTGTAGTGAGTGTGTTGTGAAGGGAGTGTAGTGTGTTGTGGAGTGTAGTGAGTGTGTTGTGAAGGGAGTGTAGTGTGTTGTGGAGTGTAGTGAGTGTGTTGTGAAGGGAGTGTAGTGAGTGTGTTGTGAAAGGAGTGTAGTGGAGGGTGTTGTGAAGGGAGTGTAGTGGTGGGTGTTGTGAAGGGTAGTATAGTGGGGGTGGTTGTGAAGGTGTGTAGTGGTGGGTGTTGTGAAGGTAGTGTAGTGGTGGGTGTTGTGAAGGTAGTGTAGTGGTGGGTGTTGTGAAGGTAGGTAGTGGAGGGTGTTGTGAAGGTAGTGTAGTGGGTGGGTGTTGTGAAGGTAGTGTAGTGGAGGTTGTTGTGAAGGTAGGTAGTGGGGTTTTAAGGTGGTGGGGGGTGTTGTGAAGGTAGTGTAGTGGTGGGTGTTGTGAAGGTTGTGTAGTGGTGGGTGTTGTGAAGGAGTGTAGTGGTGGGTGTTGTGAAGGTAGTGTAGTGGTGGGTGTTGTGAAGGTAGTGTACGGGGTGGGGGGGGTTGTTTTTGAAGGAGTGTAGTGGTGGGGTGTTGTGTGTGAAAGTGTGGGTGTTGTGAAGGGTAGTGTAGTTGGGGGGTGTATTTGTGAAGGTAGTGTGGGGGAGTGGGTGTTTGTAAAGGGGAGTGTAGTGGGGGGTGTTGTAAAAGGAGTGTGGGGGGTGTTGTAAAGGGGAGTGTAGTGGTGGGTGTTGTGAAGGTAGTATGTGGTGGGTGTTGTGAAGGTAGTGTAGTGGTGGGTGTTGTGAAGGTAGTGTAGTGGGTGGGTTTGTGAAGGTGGTAGTGGTGGGTTTTGAGTATTTGAAGGTTGTGTGGGGGTATGGGGGTGTTTGTGAAGGTAGTGTAGTGGAGGTTGTTGTGAAGGTAGTGTAGTGGGGGGTGTTGTGAAGGTAGTGTGGTGGGGTTGTTGTGAAGGTAGTGTAGTGGTGGGTGTTGTGAAGGTAGTGTAGGGGGAGGTTTTGTGAGTAGTGTAGTGGTGGGTGTTGTGAAGGTAGTGTGGGGAGGTGTTGTGAAGGTAGTGTAGTGGTGGGTGTTTGAAAGGTAGTGTAGTGGTGGGTGTTGTGAAGGTAGTGTAGTGGTGGGTAGTTGTGGAAGGTTGTGTAGTGGGTGGGTTTTTGTGAAGGTAGTGTGAGTGGTGGGTGTTGTGAAGGTAGTGTAGTGGTGGGTGTTGTGAAGGTATTTGTGGGGTGGGTTTGTGAAGGTAGTGTAGTGGTGGGTGTTGTGAAGGTAGTGTAGTGGTGGGTTTGTGAAGGTAGTGTAGTGGTGGTGTTGTGAAGGTAGTGTAGTGGTGGGTGTTGTAAGGGGTTTAGTGTAGTGGGGGTGTTGTGAAGGTAGTGTAGTGGTGGGTGTTGTGAAGGTAGTGTAGTGGAGTTGTTGTGAAGGTATTGTAGTGGTGGGTGTTGTGAAGGTAGTGTAGTGGGGGTGTTGTGAAGGTAGTGTAGTGGTGGTGTTGTGAAGGTAGTGTAGTGGTGGGTGTTGTGAAGGTAGTGTAGTGGTGGGTGTTGTGAAGGTAGTGTAGTGGTGGGTTGTGAAGGTAGTGTAGTGGGTGAGTGTTGTGAAGGTAGTGTAGTGGTGGTTGTTGTGAAGGTAGTTTTGTGGTGGGTGTTGTGAAGGTAGTGTTGTGGTGGGTGTTGTGAAGGTAGTGTAGTGGTGGGTGTTGTGAAGGTAGTGTAGTGGTGGGGTGTTGTGAAGGTAGTGTAGTGGTGGGTGTTGTGAAGGTAGTGTAGTGGGGGTTTTTTTAAAAGGTAGTGTAGTGGTGGGTGTTGTGAAGGTAGTGTAGTGGTGGGTGTTGTAAAAGGTAGTTTTGTGGTGGGTGTTGTGAAGGTATTGTAGTGGTGAGTGTTGTGAAGGTAGGGGTAGTGGTGGGTGTTGTGAAGGTATTTGTAGTGGTGGGTGTTGTGAAGGTTAGGGGTAGTGGTGGGTGTTGTGAAGGTAGTGTAGTGGTGGTGTTGTGAAGGTAGTGTAGTGGTGTTTTTTGAAGGTGTGTAGTGGTGAGTGTTGTGAAGGTAGTGTTGGGGAAGGTTTAGTTGTAGTGGTGGGTGTTGTGAAGGTAGTGTAGTGGGGGTGTTGTGAAGGTAGTGTAGTGGTGGGTGGTTGTAAAAGGTAGTGTAGTGGTGGGTGTTGTGAAGGGAGTGTAGTGGTGGGTGTTGTGAAGGTGTGTAGTGTGTGGGGTTTTGAAGGTAGTGTAGTGGTGGGTGTTGTAAGGTAGTGTAGTGGTGGGTGTTGTGAAGGAGTGTAGTGGGGGGTGTTGTGAAGGAGTGTAGTGTGGTTTGTGGAGTGTAGTGGGGGTTTGGTGAAGGAGTGTAGTGGTGGTTGTAAAGGGGAGTGTAGTGGGGGTGTTGTGAAGGGTAGTGTAGTTGGTGTTTGTGAAGGGAGTGTAGTGGTAGGGTGTGTGAAGGGAGTGTGTGAGTGTGTTGTGAAGGAGTGTAGGGGAGTGGGTGGAAGGGAGTGTAGTGGAGGGTGTTGGGGAAGGGAGTGTAGTGGTGTGTTGTAAAGGGAGTGTAGTGGGGGTTTTTGTGAAGGGAGTGTAGTGGGGTGTTGTAAAGGGGAGTGTAGTGGAGGGGTGTTGTGAAGGAGTGTAGTGGGGGGTGTTGTGAAGGGAGTGTAGTAGGTGTTGTGAAGGGTTAGTGTAGTGGTGGTGTTGTGAAGGTTGTGTGAGGGGTGGGTTTTGTAAAGGGAGTGTAGTGGTTGTTGTGAAGGGAGTGTAGTAGGTGTTGTGAAGGGAGTGTAGTGTGTTGTGAAGGGGAGTGTAGGGTGTTGTAGGGGTGTGTGTGGTGTGTTGTGAAGGGAGTGTAGTGAGTGTTTTGGGTAAAGGGAGTGTAGTGAGGTGTTGTGAAGGGAGTGTAGGGGAGGGTTTTGTGAAGGGAGTGTAGTGGAGGGTGTTGTAAAGGGGGTTGTAGTGGAGGTGTTGTGAAGGGAGTGTAGTGGAGGGTGTGTGAAGGGGTGTAGGGAGGTGGTGTTGTGAAGGGAGTGTAGTGGGGGTGTTGGGGAAGGTAGTGTAGTGGGGGTGTTGTGGGGTAGGTAGTGGGGGTGTTGTAAAGGGGTGAGTGTAGTGGTGGGTGTTGTGAAGGGGTTAGTGTGTGGGAGGGGTGTTGTAAAGGGGTTAGGTGTAGAGTTTTGGGAGGGTGTTGTGAAGGGATTTGAGGGGAGGGTGTTGTGAGGGAGTGTAGGGGAGTGTGTTGTAAAGGAGTGTAGTGGGGGTGTTGTGAAGGGAGTTTTGTGGGGGTGTTGTGAAGGAGTGTAGTGGAGGGTGTTGTGAAGGAGGTAGTGGAGGGTGTTGTGAAGGGAGTGTAGTGGGGGTGTTGTGAGGGAGTGTAGGGGGGGTGTTGTGAAGGGTGTAGTGGATTTTGTGGGGACCGTGGCAGGGTTGTTTAAAAGGCATTGGATATGTATAGTGAGGGGAGAGGGGAAGGGGAGTAGGGTGGGAGGGAGTGAGGGGGGTGTTGTAAGGGAGGATTATGGAGGGTGTGGGAAGGGAGGTGGGGAGGGGTTTTGGAAGGGAGGAGTGAGGGGTTTGTAGGGGAGGGGGGGTGCAGGTAGGTTGAGGGGGGGAAGGGAGAGGGTGGTGTAGTGGAGGAGGGGGTTGTGAAGGGGTGTAGGGAGGGTGGGAAGTGCAGGGCTTGTAAAGGAAGGGAGGGGGGAGGTGGGAGGGGTAAAGGGGGGGGAGGAGTGCAGGGTGTCAGGAAAGGGAGTAGGGGGGGTTCCCGGGAGAGGGAAGGGGAGGTAAAGGGGAGGGAGGAGTGCGGGTGTCAGGGAGGGGGATGCAGGGTGTCAGGAAGGGAGGAGCATGGGTCGGGGGAAAGGGGGTGGGGGGTCAAGGGGAGGGAGGTGTGCAGGGTGTCAGGGGAGGGAGGGTGAGGGTTGTCAGGGGAGGGGGAGTGCAGGGGTCGGGGGAAGGGGGGTCAGGGAGTGGGGAAGGAGGGTCAGGGGAGGGAGGAGTTTGGGGTTTGTCAGGGAGGGAGGATTGTAGGGTGTCAGGGGAGGGAGGGGGTTCAGGGGTAAAGGGGAAGGGTAGGGAGGGCAGGCGTGTGTCAGGGGAGGGAGGAGTGCAGGGTGTCAGGGAGGGAGGATTTCAGGGAGTCAGGGGAAGAGGGAGTCAAGGGAGGGAGGAGTGCAGGGTGTCAGGGGAGGGAGGAGTGTAGGGTGTCAGGGGAGGGAGGAGTGCAGGGTGTCAGGGGAGGGAGGAGTGCAGGGTGTCAGGGGAGGGAGGAGTGCAGGGTGTCAGGGGAGGGAGGAGTGCAGGGTGTCAGGGAAGGGAGGAGTTCAGGGGAGTCAGGGGAAGAGGGATTCAAGGGAGGAGGAGTGCAGGGTG